ATCTGCTAGGACAAAGGGAGTATCTCATATGAAAAGATTTCATTTTAACATTTTAAAAATGTATTTTTTTTTTATTACTTTTATTCTAAATAGTTTTCGATTGAAGATATAAAAAAGAAACACTGTCCCACTTTAAATATTAGGTAAATACAAGTGAAGAAAAACGATTTTTCTAACAAGACCAATTTCAGAGAAATCATCAAAAATATTTACCATCAAATCTTTATGGTCTGGACTAGGCACATCTATGACCCAGAGTAAAGACTTAACAATTGCAATAATAATTATTATTAGGTATCTGTTTCAAAAATACATGGAACATATATGGTCATTTTATTTCAAAACTCGACAAATTGATAAAACCTTGAATTTTTTTTTTATTATTTTGTGTGCGTAATACTCAGGGTGTAAGTTCAACTCGGATTTGGACAGTTTTCTAAAGGACTTCAAAAATAAATACTCAATTACATTGCTTTATTTTTTAAGTTTTTTCCCCCATAACTCTGTCAGTTGTAAATCGATTTAGAAAGTTCTTTTTTATCTGTAAGAAAATACTTACAGATTGATCCCATAGAAATTTTATCAAAACTGGTTCAGTAGTTTAGTTTTTAATTAAAAAAAAACGAAGTATGTTTTTTTATGGAACACAATTTTAAATTATGCATTTAATTAAATTAACGGTTCCCCGTTGAAACCATCGTGGTTAATTCTAGTGGAAATTGATGCGCTAACTGAAACCGAAATTTGCTTTCATCGTCTTAACATTTCTATCGTCATTTTTAATAATTTTCACTAGTGCCCCGTCAGCTGCTTTCATCGTCACCTATATATCGATAGTAGTAGGTTTTTTTAATGGGTGATAATGGTATGGTAACTCCGTCTACGGTATCGGTATACAATGGCGGGGCGTCAGTGACAGATGACTAATTAGGATGAAATAGGACAGTTAGCCCATCCTGACGAATTCAACTAGAATTAGTCACGATGGTTTCCAGGGGAACCACGTGGAGGTCAACCTGATAGGGTATATTGCTAGTAATGGGGCTATTTGAGCCCATTACTAACAATCCCTTTCCCCCTGAAGGCGAGGGTTACCGTTCCATTATCACTCATTAACAAAAAATACATATATACTTACCAATATTTAATTATTCCTTTAAAACAAATATAAAGAGAACTATCGATTTTGAAAACACAAATATAAGTTAAGACTTTTCAGTTAAGAGTAGTGTTCTGACCGCAAAACAATATTTATATAGGTACCACTACCAAAACCACTAGCTTAACGAATATGTTGCCACCTTAATCACTGATTTAGTAACTAAAATTTATGAAAAAGGCAGTTGGATTTCAAGATTTTAACTATAAAAGAAACTACTTTATTCTATATATATATATATATATATATATATATATATATATATATATATATATATATATATATATATATATATATATATATATATATATATATATATATATATAATTAACAATATATTAACAATAATAAAATAAAATAATAAAACTATCATTAACCAATTTACATAATCTTTTTCATTTAGACACGGTATTTAAAGAATTAAATTTCAAGCTTATGAATAAAATTTTCATATGAAATTGACTGTAAATTTGGTCAAAGTTGGCCATATATTAGAGAGCACAAGTACTTTGAATAGACTATTTAATAACTCTAATAGACTATGTTTCGATCCGAAACATACACTTAATTCCATTCCATTATTTTTGTAAAAGAAAAACCTGTTAAGAACATTATTTATAGTAAATCAAAAATAATAAATTTTGAAAAAGTACTACAAAGCGTCTATAACAGAGCTCCCACTTTAAATATCCGTGAAACGCGTGATATACGTTTATATCAACCACATGTTTAATCGTCAATAACATGTTTAAATAGTTGCATAATTGAAACCAAAAAAAAAATACTTAATACTAAAATTAACTAACAATTGAGTAGATATTTTTAACAAAATAATAATAACGAGTAGTGACTGTTTTAAAACCACTCCTCGTTTTGATATTTTCAACGTGTCGATAAAACGTGATTTTAACCCATATTTAATGTAAGAATATTCGTTTACATGAGTATGTCTATGATTTAATTTTATATTTAAGGAGTACGAAATTACCCTGATATACCCGAAAATTATATGATAGCAACACTGCTACTATCGGCGGGGACACGAAAATAAGTCTCATTGCATGTGTGCTATTAGTGTTGTCAATGCCACCAGAAACCACAATTGAATGTGGGAATTCCTAGAGTTTTATTTAGAATTGCCAGTATAAATCTTCTACCAGTTCTACTATATTAGGAGAATAAAAGAAAGTTATTTTTAATTGGATAAATATTTAATTTATAGACATTATAATATTATTACGACATTAATAATTTGCTTCGATTATATATAACCATAATGTAATAAATAAGCACCTAAATGATACACATTATTGTGTATCATTTATTCTATTTAGTCTTCTAATAATTTTCACAAATGTTGAAATTACAAAACGTATTGTAAATACATACATATATCTGCTTTCTTATCTGCAAATATTGACAAGAAAGTAAACAATAATATAATTACAAATATTTGTAACGTAATAATTTATAATATCAGAATAATATTTATTTCGTATAACGTATAAAACGTTATTTATTGTATGGTTTACTAACTTCGTATTATTAGTATTGCTCCAGAAGATAGCTTATGACTTTGACTTTTTTTGTATTTCGTTTCAAGATTTTAATATTAGTGACTGTTAAACCTAATTATTATTATTATATTAATAATTATTAATATAATAATAGTAATGTCTGATAAGTGTAAAAACTGTAACAAGTATCTTCGTAAGATTGTTGGTTATTTTTTCTCATATCTCAAGGTCAAGGTGAAAGTTGGTCGCGAGATATACACAAATCGTGTTGGTACACCAAGTACGTAAATATTAAAACATAAGTTTCGATATAGGTTCCCATTTGGGAGCAGATTCGACATATTTATCCGGCTAAACTCTTTAACTACACTACATATAAAATAACATAAGCTGTAGAATAGGACTAAAGAAAAAAAAATAGTTCTTAACTTCATAAAAGCATATAATGTTATTATTAATTGATATAATAATTTTAGTACTCTATCGATGTGTACAAAATAAATTATGTACACTGACAGCCCTGCCTCCACGTTGGTAGATTGGTGTAGGTATCACGTGTTATACACGTGACTGTAAGTGTACAGTCGCTCACATGTAAACAAAATATTCATGTAGATGTGTAAGCAAAGCCCATTTTAATACACTACTACACATCCACTCGTATTCATCGTAATCGCACACAAATATAATCGTCTGACTTCGACGTGACCTTAACATATTTTTGTTTGCAAAATTCAATACGCTGTTATAAGTAGGTTCTTCTTTATAACACAGACATGGTTCCCACTTTCCATCAGGTGGGCCGTCAGCTTGTTTGCCGTTCTAAGTTGTATAAAAAAAAACATAGTAGTTAAACAAAAATGTACTCTGCTGTAATACACACACAACCGGGGAGAAGGGATTGTTAGCAATGAAGTTTGACAGCCCCATTGCTAGCAATATGCCCTATTAGATCGACCTCCACGTGGTTCCCCGTGGAAACCATCGTGATTAATTCTTGTTGAATTCGTCACGATCGCGATGGGCTAACTGACCTGCTTCATCCTCGTCTATCATCCTTCACTGGTGCCCCGCCGGTGTATACCGATAGCGCGGGATTTAATGGATGAGAATGGGTAACCATTCCATTATCATCCATTAAAAAAATACGGACACAACCATACAATCATAAACAGACAAATTGAAGGCCAACAGTTTCATTTACATTCACAACTAGGGTTGCCACCTTTTTTTGCAATTGAAGTACATTGGTTATTATAGGTAAGAAAAACAGTATATAGTATCAAATTAAAGTACAATTTATTTTTATTTATTATTCTTAAAAACATACTTTTATTACAGTTTGTATCAAATCTGTATCTCTACTAAACAATTGCACAGCTTCCGTACAGTCTATATTTAAATTTAAGTAAATAAGTAATTCAATTTTTATCAAATTCAGATATGCTCTGTTTTTATTCGTCTCGCCATTTGTTATTCATATTAAAAATAAAATAATTCATAAGTTTAAAAAATTATCGTCACCTTTAAAAATTATCGCTGCAAAACCCTTAAAAGTACATATTTATTATAAAGTTAGTTTGATAAAGCGTTTTCGTATACATTAGGTTTTATTATTATTGTGTATATATAAAGTGTAAATAACCAGTTTGTATTATTTAAATGAAACCATTTATTTAGGCCCTCTAGAGCATTGTCAATAAATAATAAAAAATGTCTTGTGAATCTTAACTAGTCAAATCATGCGAAATAGAGTATTTTCGTATACTTTATTATTAGTATATATAAAGTGTAGAGTACAATTACCTGAAATAATGTACAATATTTTAAAGTACGGGTGGCAACCCTACTCACAACACACATTCACATTCAAAGGAATATTTCACGAAGCCATTACTACTAAAGAAAGACTTGGTAAAAATATACATTATATACATATACACACATCCATGTGACAGGTCTGGATCGGGTGGCGTGAGTGCGCATCGCATCACGTCAGGTTTTCAGTGTGATCCTGATCATTAGGAAATACATTAATTTGATTCGACACAACCGTGTCTCGTTTGATCGGTTCCCGTCGCGTTTTAACAATGTGTATCCGCCATTATACGTAAGCATGAGTAATACTTTATTACGAATTCCAATTCTTTGAAACGAAACAATATCTCTCTACCTAATCTATATCTGTTGATGAATTAAAGTGTTGTTACATTAATGTGTGATTATACTGTACTACTTAGTGTTGAACTGTTCTAATAAAGTGTATTGTTCATTATTTTGACTTCATTTTCGGTAAGTCCTTCCAGTGAAAATTACTTATTACGTATGTACCTACATGTGTATTCCGGTTATCATTTACTCAGAATTTGTTAGCTTGTGACGAAATAATACACTTATTTATCTAAAATTATGATGAATACTTTTTCTGTACTTAGCCTGTGTTAAAAGGAAAGGCACAAATACAAATGACTTTATTGTGGATCATAATTCAAATTAAGGTATTACATCAGTTAAATAGTATCGGTATTAAAAAAAAAATCATATTCCGTACATATGGTAGATCCTGTTTATTTTAACATTATTATTGAAAAAGTTTGTAAGAATAGATAGCAAAAACGTTCTTCTTTCGTACTCCCTTTTTCGATAATTCGTCATATGGGCCGTGCTCACATATGCGCCTTTTTTAAGAACTTCTCCCTGCCTGAACATTTTGCAATGTTCACGTAGGCAATATTTGCTTTACTTCTAACATAGATGGCGTTCTGAAATCTGATCACGGAACAGGAAAAAGAAATAAAGGTAAAAAACCCTGTTTATAATGAGGGTTATAAATAAAAATCCATTGGTTGTGTCAACGAATAATATAAGCTCTAATTTTAATACTTGCCGTTCAAAAATGGGCTTTATTTATATTGCTATTGATTTTGTTTTTCAGTCAACTATGAGTAACAAACAGAAGAAAAACAAGCTTGACTTGTACCTTACAGAAGTGTTTAATCATTTCATAGCGCTAAAGGATAATGACGTAAAAAGATCACAAGAGGTGTTCAAAAGTGTTTTTGAACAAGTCAAGGATGCTATGGGGGAGCAGTGTAATTATTTTGCTAACTACAGCAGCCAGGTAAACATTTCATACATCAACATACTATCCATATTGTTTTTAAAACAGCCACCTTATAAATTTTCTTTGGATTTTTTCCACCACGAGTGTATATTTTACTCATGTGGTTTCCGGGAAACTGCATTACTTTCTAACTTACTGCAAACGATGGCATTATATTTTGATGGCCCGTATACATCTAATCTAATTGTTCTGATTGTCACAGTACAAATCCAAAGGTCTGATACGATACGATACAAATCAAGGCCTGAGTGCATAAAGTAGTAATATACTTTCTGAAACTTAGATCTTCAGACATTATAATCTACAAATATTTCGCCAGTGTTACCCTCGGTATAATAATTCTCTTTTCAGGTTATGTATGGTGGGAGCGTCTACGACGGGATCAAAGTGTCGAAACTGGACGAGTTTGACATGGACATCGTCATACGACTACCGATTAGCTACGAGGACGGCGAGAACGGCATCACCATTGAAAATGAACAACCCGGATTTGTGAAACTAAAAATTACAAAAGCTTTTGATAACCTCGTAACACAGAGTAATTGGGAGTTATGCCATAAAGTCACTCACACGTGGCGAGACAACGATTCTTACCTTAGGCAAGACATGTTTCGCAATTGGATACATAGTATAGTCCAGAAAGCCATGAATGACCTACATAACAAAGTTACAGTTAATGGGGTGACCTATTCGTTAAGTTACAAGAAGTCCGGTCCGGCGTATACCCTGAAAATTGCCAGTTTGCCGGATAATAAAGATGAGCCGTTCAAACTTGACGTGGATTTAGTGCCCGTCATTAGATTCACTCATCCCCGCTGGCCACAGGGCTACAGGTTAGTTTTATAAATGATTTCTATAAATATCTTATAATAATATGTCATGCCTAATGATGATGAGTTTCATTATAATAAAGTGGCCGAAAATTTAACACTACCTCGACGACGGTTACCACTTTCCAACAGATGAGCCGTCAGCTTGTTTGTCATTCTAAGTTACAAAAAAAAATATACATTGATAATGATTGCCGTATGTTGTCGTTAGTTGTTCACAGCCGTTTTTTACAGGCAACCCAACGTTACGACCGCCAAGGACTGGTTAGTGGTGCCTAAGCCGAATAAGGCCATCAAGGACGGGCAGCTACAGAATCGCTGCTGGCGGCTCTCGTTCCAGGACTTCGAGAAGGAGCTCATGAAGGGTTGCCAAAACCTCAAAACTACTATTAGATTGGTGCGTATGTGACTTCTTCTCGTGAATTGAGATAAAAAGAATCTCATGTGTTAATCACTTGTGCGCAAAATTTAATTTATATCTGTTTGTTTTACTACAAACATCTTCACAAACTTTATAATTTTAACTGGACATTCTGATTAGGATTGAGCAATTCAATTTAGTCTAAGAATATACAGGTCTCAAAATTACACATGATTATCAAAACGTTCATACCTCCAAAAATTAATCCCCGAACATTTAAATCTTATAATGTACCTACTTTTTTTTGTATGAGTGGCAAGGGTCTACGCCATTAAAAAAATATATTTATAGCCCTAGTGTTTCTGTATAGCTGAGACTTAAATTGTAGATCAATTTTAAACTTTATTGACCAATAAAATGTACAAATGTACTTTACAAACTGTACAAAGGTACTTTGTAAAGTTATGCCAGTATAATTTATCTTTTAACAGGTGAAAAAGATGCGCGACGTTCTCGAAATGAAAGCCATAGCGAGTTATTACATTAAAACTTTATTTTTATGGAAAATTTCTCAAAACGATAAGAAATATTGGGAAACAAAAGTCAGTGCTCTTTTCAAGACGATGGTAGGGGAGTTACACAAAGCTATTCAAGACAAGAACATACCATATTTTTGGAACGAGGACAACAATTTAATCGAGAGTTTAAATGATCATCTACAACGTGATTACACACGAAAACTACAAAATGTACTCGACGGCATCGACTCGGATGATATGGATAAAGTTCTCATCGCGTTGCTTACTACTGACGAATTGACGCTGTTTAAGAGATTCGACTTCTATCAAAAGAGTATTTCTTCAATACGACTTCCGCGAAGATCACAAAAATTAACACTTGACGCTGATCTCGTTAATAATTTGGAAAGTAAAATGTTAGAATTGACTACAAAATTAAAAGAACTCACTGAGAAAATGAATAATATGAATACAAATGAAGATGAATATCCAGAAGTTGTACAGGAAGTAAAAGAAATATCGGATGAGATCGAAGATTACAAAAGTATGTTACCCGTAGAACCTAAAAGAGGAGGTACATTGAAAAAAATTCTCTTATTTCTTGCTTTCCTCCCTCTGGTGAATAATCCAAATAGTTCTCGCCCAAATGAAGAAACCGGTTTACGATTGCAGTACGACTAGATTCGTCGTTGTGGAAAAAAATATTAAATTATGCCACACTAACGAATGTATACAATAAGGTAATCATATGAAATAATAATTTAAATCACTATGAACGAAATATGTAATAAAATCACATGAATAAAAAATCTGTAGGCAGCTTGTAGGAATGAAATCCAAACCAACTGGTTTTCTTTTCAATTTTTCAAAAATTAACGATTACATCGAAAATCGTCTGACTAATTATTACATCTTTATATTCTTGTAACTTGATAAAAGATAAATTATACTAAGAACCTGAGTTTGAATTGCTACAAGTGTCAACTTACTAGCTATTCGCCACAAATTCGCATAGGTAGATAGTACTCGTATCTTCGAATATATATACATATTATATTTTATATATATATACATAGCTTATATTATTCACTGACTATGGGTATATATGTAACTTTGTACAATGGAAATAATTTTTAAAATTCTTTCCCAAGTAGAAAGTTACATCACAATCGGTGAAATAGTTTTTGAGTTTATCCACTACAAACAAATAACCCAATAAATATTAGTATAGATAAAATATTTTAATTAGAACATATTATATACACAAACATTCTGTAAAAATATCTAAATATGAAAATAAAAAGAAAAATAAAACGAATAGAAATACCGAAACCTGCATCAAAACCCGTTGTGTAATTTAGAAGTAGATAGACAGTTTTCAATTTAGCTATAAATCTATTTTATGAACCACTGAATAAATTTAATCCATATTTATCCTCAGAATAACAATTAAAATTATTGAAATTTAAATTAAAAGGATACATTTAAAGAATCGATGGTTAATTCAATGATATTTTTATTAATAATTGGTAATTTCAACAATAATATTTTTTACTAATTGAGTCAAATATAGTAAAATAGATTATATATCATCATATCAGCTCTTAACTGTCCACTGCGGAACATAAGCCTCCCCTTTGGGGGGTTTTGCCAGTAGTTGTCACGCTTGGCAGACAGATAGGCTTTAGAGATGTTTTAAGAGGGACGCTGCTACCCATATCTCGTCAATTATATATATATTTGCTTTAATAAAATTTACATAATTTTTTTTTAACAGATAAAGAAAATGCGCGACGTTCTCAAATTGAAAACGATTGTTACTCATTACATCAAAACATTGTTTCTATGGAAAATATCCAAAACATCCAAGTCATATTGGGATGAGAGACTGAGCGTGTTATTTAAGACGATGGTTCAAGAGCTGTATAACGCTCTAAATGAAAAGTATATCCCGTGTTTCTGGCATCGTGACCACAACCTGATTGCTAATTTAAAAGAGACTGAAAGATTTAAATATATAATAAAACTGAAAGATCTCCTTCATGATATCGATACAGAAGATGCAGATAAAGTGTTGATAGCATTACTAACGAGCAATGAACTATCAGAATTTCGGAAGTTGGACATTTACAAGCAACAATCTATAACAACAAGTATTACAAAAGAGAAACCAACATCTTGTATACATGAGGAACTTGTAATGAGTATGCATAATCAAATGGATACATTGATGAAAAATGTCGACGAGCTCAGTGAGACACTGAATGGAAAAAGAATTAAAATTAATGTCGCCGGATCTATAAAACGAATTAGTTCTAATGTGACCCAAGAAGTCGACACCACGGACAGTAGTGACGATTCAGATGCTTCTAACGATGACCATGGAAATCTGTGTGTAGTAATTTGATTGTATAGTAACTATCTTGTATTTATCCCAAGCAATTAATATTATTTTAAATTTTAAGAAAAAAATGCCAACAGCTGAATTTTCTTGCCCATTCTTCTTAACCCATTCAATACGGCGGCCATATTGAGTTTTATCCCTATGCAGTATACGCAGTTTAGTTTTTCATAAACATCTGAGCTCGTCACTGACGGCACAACAGTATGTGTGTTCTACGTATATGGCTTAGTTAATTGTTAGGAGTGACTGCCAGTAAATAACGGGCTTCCATTTTATCAAAAATTTTGACTGGAACGGTCTAAAGCACGTTTGGAACTAAAGGAAACCGAGCGCCTCGGAGCGCTCGCCGTCATTGGGTAAGGGTGGGGAGAGCGCCTCGAGGCGCTTGCCGTCACAAGGAATAACATTGGAGAGCGCCCTGGCGCGCTCTCCGTATTGAATGGGTTAACTAAAATTACATTTAACCAGAGGGAGACTTTGTACAAAAGTCGATTGCTTGGGTACCTCTGTCCCATTCGTGTTTTAACCGTGAAGCTGCTGTATTTCAGTTTGAAGGGTGGGATATGGCGTGAATTTACAAGATACAAAGGAATAACATCTGAGTCCTCAGGAACGGCAACGCATGGGGCAAAACAGTATGTGTGTGTACTGTTATGTCCATGGTACTGTTCATGTCTATAGGTGACGGGTTACCACTTTCCATCAGGTGGGCCGTCAGCTTGTTTGCCATTCTAAGTTGTATAAAAAAAATTACAAATAATTGCTATCAACCATTTTATCAAAATATTTTAAATTTTGGGAAAAGCATTCATCATCATCATGATATCAGCCTTTAATTATCCACTAATGAACATATACCTCCCCCTTGGAGGGTTATGCCAGTACTTGCCATGCTTGGCAAGCGGATTGCCAACCGCAGTTAGGCTATGGAAATGTTTAAAGAGAGACACTGCTGCTCATCCCTTGCCCTCTTTAGTCGCCTCTTAGGACAACCACGGGAAAGAAAGAGACGGCCTATCTATGCCGGAACCACACGGTAGGTATAGGAAAAGTATTAAATAGTAAAATTTCACTTTAAAAAGTGTTAATGATTTTGAGATGGCTTTTTTTGGTACAAAGGAACCCTCCTGATGCGGTAAAGAATATTAAATATAATAAGTATTCGATGTATGAGTTATACAAATAAATAATTTATTATACATAAAATATTTTTTTACCTACTAATATTAACACAAGATTGTTGTATTTATATTTGGTTTGTTATTGTCCAGAGGGAGACTTTGTACAAAAGTCGATTGCTTGGGTACCTCTGTACCATTCGTGTTTCAACCGTGAAGCAGTTGTGTTTGCATGGCTGTGTTTCGGTTTGAAGGGCCTTTGGTAGATGGCGTGAATTTACAGGGTACAGAGGAATAACACCTGAGTCCTCAGGAATTGCCATTCCACGTGCGTCTCCCCATGCGTTGCCACGCATGGGGGGTATCATGGGCGAAACAGTATATGCGTGTGTATTGTTATGTCCATGGTACTGCTTATGTCTATAGGCGACGGTTACTACTGTCCATCAGGTGGGCCGTCAGCTTGTTTGCCATTCTAAGTTGTATAAAAAAAAATTTTTGATACTCTCATGTTAAATAATTAACTGTATTAATTTTATGATGAATACAGTTATTTAATTGATGGTGAACGAATGATGATGAATGAATATATTATGATGATAGTTATTTTATGATGAATAAGGTTTCGCCCATGATGCCTCCCATGTGTTGCCATTTTGAGGACTCAGGTGTTATTCCTCTGTACCCAGTAAATTCACACCATATCTGGAGGTCCACCCTTAAACATTTCAGAAACACAGCCATGCAAACACAACTGCTTCACGGTAGAAACACGCAAGGGACAGAGTTCCCCTCTCAAGCAATCGACTTTTGTACAAAGTCTCCCCTCTGGTCATCAATGTTACAATAATATCCATTGAAAGAGATTTATTAGAATTGGTTCAAAATTAAGAAGATATATTGAGTAATATATGTACAAACAAAAATACAGAACGGGGAATTAATAACTTAGTTCTTAGAAAATCTCTCTCAACTCTCTAAAAAGAGAATAGTTTAATAAAAACATAAACTGGAAAAAGATATCCACTAAAGAAAACAATTATAACTATCCTGAAACATGTACTTTATAATTATTTAAAGTAATTTATATTAATTATTAGGGGGGGGGGGGGGGATTAATATTAATGGAGACACTAGTCCATCGCTCGAAATGTACCCTGTTTTTTTTTAATGAATGATTATGGATGGCGTGAAGACGCTTTACGAATGGTATACACTGGTGGTTCACATTATCAAAGATAGATAAATTTAAATCAAAATAAGATATAGAAAATTTGAAATTAGTCGATATTAAAAACCTCAACCGAAATTTTAAGACAGTACAATTTTATATTACCTGGCAAAAATGAAGCGCGTGGACCACGTGAAAGTCGACGCTGATCAAATCGAGTCAAAGAAATATTAATAGCAATGGAAAAGAGTCCTGTTACTACAATCCCTGTTACAACAAGCCCCTCGCCCCATGTACCCTGCTTTTTTTTGTTGGATAAAAGTGTATTGGTAACCCCGCCCGCGCTAACGGGAGGTACGCTGGCGGAGCACCAGTGAAGGGTGATCGATGAGAATGAAAACGGGCCAGTTAGCCTATCTGATGAATTCATCATGAAGAATTAATCATGATAGTTTCCGGAACCGCGTGGAGGTCGACCTAGTTAGGTATATTGCTAGCAATGGGATTTTTAGTCTCTATTACTAACAATCCCTTCCCCTTCCTCATGTACCCTGTCAGGTCGATATTACCGCGATCCCCTCCGGAAACCATCGTGGTTAATTTCTACTGAATTCGCCAGGGTGAAGTAGCTGATCTCACTTCATTCTAATCGTTTTATCCTCCACTGGTGTTCCACCTCTGACTGTTATCATAGGCGAGCGCACTATTTTTATCAATAAAAATACTACAAACCACCTAAAGAAAATACATATATAAACCGATCTTTAATTATATAGATAGAGTATCCTCATACAAATGCTTCGAGAAAAGCGGGTCAACTTTTTCATACAATTTTGTGTGATAAATAGTTATGAGTGTTTCCTTTATAAATTCTATCTCAATATTTTAATTTAATAATTGCATTAAATTAGTGTTATCGACGGTGGATTTAATATTGCAAATACGAGGATAATGGAGTGTAAAGGACAAGGTAAATAAAAAATAAAGTAAATAGGAAAGATAAATAATATAGAACGTTTTATATGGGAACCGACTGTCACCGCTCGGCTCACATATGACAGCTGTCAACTTGACACAATCCTTCAATCTATATACATGTATCGGCTACCAACGCCTGCGCAATAATAATGACAACAATTACACTTCGAAAATATATAAGTACATACTTCTTTATTAATATTACGTAATTTAGATAAGCTTTGGATGTAGGTTTAGACAAATTTTAATGTGGAAATAATCTGACTCGAACTTAAATTATAATAAACATATCGAACGCTATAAGGTCGATAATGTACTCTGTGAATCAATTTATAATCTAAGCGTCAATCATTTCAAACGTATACATTTTATACCCAAATATTAAAATAAAATAAAATAAGTACATGTCGACGTATTAAATTAAGCTAATCTTTTTTTTTTAGTGACAACATTAACAACTTTCAAGGCAAACTGCTGTAAAAAGGAATAACCAATAAAAATTGCCAGTATAAATTTCTACTATTTCTACTTAGTGAATTTATCAAAAATAGCAAATAGAATATATCTATATATATCAATAATCACATAATATATTTATAGTTTTTTTTTATTGGATGAAAATGGAATGGTAACCCCGCCTGTGCTAACGGGATACGCTGGCGGGCTGGTGAAGGGTGATCGATGAGAATGAAAACAGGCCAGTTAGCCCATCATGATGAATTCATCTGGAATTAATCATGATAGTTTCCAGGGGGAACCGCGAGGAGGCCGACCTGGTTGGGTATATTACTAGCAATGGGATTCTCAGTCTCCATTACTAACAATCCCTTTCCCCCCAATATATTTATAGTACGACATATATTTCTCAAAACATATGAAAATTCTAATTACATATATTTATTTATTAACGCCGCTCTTCCTTCCTTCCAGCGCATTCTTCATATTATTATTTCTTTGTTTAATATTGTTAATAGCTAACCTTTGTGCATTGTAGTATGTACATATGTCAAGTAAGTATTTCAGTCATGACGATAAGAAAATATGAAAATTTTGGTGAACTATATCGCGAGAAAAGCTAATAATTAATTAATAACTTATAACACATTAATAACTTCTACGGGTTTGATATTAGAAAGAGCGAGAAAAATTATATGCTTTATTGACACCACACATACTTTTGGATAAAAATACCTATATCGCACATACAAAAAAGCGAAAAAGTAATAACAACAATAATAAAAATAGGTAACAATACTAACAGAAAATCTCACTGACTTCGTCGCCATGCTCTTAGATCCCGACGATCCAATTAATAGGCTAATATCCCTTCCACTCTACCACGCAACCTTAGTCACACACACACACACACGCACACAACGAACACCATTCCCGTCAGCGGAGACAAAGATCTCCATCACACTATTTGCACCTTATCACTAACACCTTTCTCTCGAACTCAGCCGACCCTCCAGTCTCCTCACCAGGAATCGAAGTACGATGGCCTAAGCCGAGATCCAAGCCGCTCTCCATCCATCCATCGATAAAAGTCAACACTTCGTCACTCTCCTCTCACGGGATTGGAGTAACATTTATAATCACCTCTGCACGCGTTCGGTGAAGTTGTAAAGGCCATCTATGGCCAACAGTATAAACAGGTCCAATAAAATAACAGAGAATAGTAGAAACACATCTTAACGGCATGCAACATTGACTTGGAATCTTTATTTTAAATAGTCAAGCAGCTTGAATCAAGCATTTGCAGATAATATTGCCGCTTTTAAGATTAGCTTTGAATTAATATCTCAAACGGCAATAAATGTATGCTGGACTCTAGCCGCTGTATGTACACTTACCTATGTATGTATCGCAATGTCAAGTTAAATATGTGTGATCAAAATAGAAATCTACCTATTTTGTTCTTGACGTAAATAATACAAAGTTAATTTTTTGCATTAATAATTTGCATACACTATAAACCACTCTTTTAGTGGTATATAATTTACTTTTTTGTTTAGTAATTTAGTTACTAAAAGTAAACAGTTTACAAAGTTTAAAGAAGACATCATAAACCGGTAAGTGCTAAAGGGGCTATATTCAATTATGATATTTATTTAAACTTTGGTAACAAATTGGTAATTTCTCTAAGCGAATTCAATGCTCTATAAATCTTTCTGAATCTGTAAAACCCAGTATAAGTGTACAATCAAGTTCCCTATGTACTGATATAATTTTTTTTTTTTTAATTAATCCTGTAATGCTAGCTTATAGCCAAGAAGCTTGGAAAAAGACATTTTTATTTTTTCTTTTTTTTTACTAAGTATATTTTCCCTTTTTCTATTTGTCAGAACTTGATTTAGGAAACCAGAAGGGGAAATGCCCATAGCAACAAAAAATATGATTTACCAATATCCTATTTTTCTTCCAATTGAGAATGCATTAGGGAATTGGGGTACATTCTAGTCTTTATTGTTAGGAACATATCCTGTTAAGTCAACTTCTACATGATCTCCATAGAAATAATTTCTGGTATTGTCATCACAACAGGCCAGCTGACCTTACTTCATCCTTACCTAGTATTCCTTAATGGTAAACCACCAGTGTGGGGGGAGATGGGATTGTCAGTAATGTGGACAACCAGTCCAACTGCAAGCATTTGGTAACCATCTTTTTAAATTCCAAGTATATTCATCATAATGGACTAACTGACCTGCCTTCTTATTTTCACCTATCATCCGTTACTGGTGCCCTGCCAGCATATACAGTCAGCACAGGCAGCGTGACCATTCCATTATCATTCATTAAAAAAAACACTGTATATTAATAATACAAGCAAATCTGTTGCATTTTCATTCTAAAAAATAAAATCATTGCAAAAAATAAAATGTTTGCAAAAATTATTCTTAATTTTGGAAATTAAACTTTTCTATATTGGCTTGTTTTTGTGCACTGATTACTCCCAGGTTATTTATTTCATTTTGAATTAAATATACCAGAGAGAGACTGTACAAAAGTCATTTGCTTGGGTACCTCTGTCCCATTAGTGTTTCAACTGTAAAGCAGTTGTGTTTGCATGGCTGTGTTTCGGTTCGAAGGGTGGGATATGGCGTGAATTTACAGGGTACCGAGGAATAACACCTGAGTCCTCAGGAATAGCAACGCATGGGGTGTATCATGGGCGAAACAGTATACTCTGTTATGTCCATGTCTATAGGCGACGATTACCACTTTCCATCAGTTCAGTTTCACGTTCCATCAGTCACGTTGCATCAGCAAGGGTTTTGTGCTGAAAGTATAATATTAATGGACTTGTATAATTACATTGGTGAGATATATAAAGCAACTCCTACTGTGATTCTTGTGTAGCTGGGTTTTTAACTCACTAGACAATGGGTGTTATTTTATGGCACTTTTTATTTAGAAGGTTGTGATCCCTATTAATGTCTGCCCCTGGAAATATGTCTTGCAAGAGGTTATTTGGAAGGAGTTGGTGTTGTGTCGTATCATATCAAGAGGTGAAGAGACTCGCTGAAAATCTTAATGAGTGGCAAGAGAACCACCGACAAGAGCACAGCTCTTAAATAGGATAGATAGATAGATAAATAGATTTATTTATTATATATATTTTACTATTATCATTGGTATCATTGGTAATTTCTTGGAATTTATATAATAGATTAGGTTATCATTCAAAGTTAAAGATAACATACAAAAGCCAGTAATAACAAGTAGCTTGGAATAGACTTGGAATATAATACTTGTTGTTTAAAACAAACAATGTGTCTACCTAGTTATTACTACACAAGTATGGGGGGAATGTAATTGTTAGTAATGGAGACTGAGAATCCCATTGCTAGCAATATACCCAACTAGGTTGACCTCCTCACGGTTCCTCCTAGAAACTATCATGGTTAATTCCAGATGAATTTATCATGATGGGCTAACTGACCTGTTTTCATTCTAATCGATCACCCTTCACTGGTGCTCTGCCAGCATATCTCGTTAGTGCAAGCGGAGTTACCATTCCATTTTCACCCATCAAAAAAAAAACTACACAAGTGTTCTTTAAAATGTAATTAATTACATATACAGAGAAGTACAAGTTATACTTCTCTCTTTTCTTACTACATACCAATAATAATTCATACCAATTCACCGTCATCATTATATCAGCCCTTAATGGTCCACTACTGAACAGAAGCCTCCCCCTTGGTCTCCCTCCCCCTATGTCAGTAGTTGCCATGTTTGGCAGGCGGATTAGCAACCGCATTTAGGCTTTAGAAATATTTAAAGAGGGATGCTGCTGTCCATCCCTCACCATTCCTTAGTCACCTCTTACCTATGGGAAAGGAAGGGATGGCCAATTAAGTGGTCCAAACTAGGATGCTCTGTGTTTTGAAAAATCCAGCAATAAACATAAATATATTTTGCATTCCCTTCCACATTAACCCATTGGGATCTTTTATGCTTCCTTCTTCTTAATATCATTATTTTATAGATCCTATGTGTTACCTTTAAAATATGCTGTGATTTAAGATATCTGTAGTTCCCTAGAGATTTATCGAGCAAGAATGAATGGAGATGTCGGTAGGGGCCGCCCTAGACGGACGTATGTCGACCAAATAGGCGACGTGCTGAAGAAGGGCCAAATTAAAAGTACCCGTAACCGACGAGCGTGTATGACAAGATTGATGAATGTGGAAGAAGCGAAAGAGGTTTGTTTGAATCGAAGCATTTGGCGTTCCATTGTTTCTGCCTACCCTAATGGGAGACAGGCGTGACAGATATGTATGTATGTATGTAGTTCCCTGGCTCTGGATAAGTCATTCCCGGTAGACTTATATGCATACTTGCCAATGAATCACAGTTGCACATCAGTGTTCCATGGACTCCGATACTTTACTGACATATGCCACCGCTGTAGATAAATTTATCCCATCCCTCACTTTTGTCCTTTAAGAACTTTAAATATATTAAGAGTAAATAAATATAGTAATAAATAATAATTTGAATATAGTGTGAATATTGAATAAGTACTTTATATTATATGTGTTTATTTAGTAACCAGAGGGAGACTGTACAAAGTCTTTTGCTTGGGCACTTCTGTCCCATTTGTGTTTCTACCATGAAACAGTTGTGTTTGCATGGCTATGTTTTTGTTTGAAGGGTGGAATATGGCAGTGAATTTATAGGGTACACAGGAATAACACAACACCTGAGTCCTTAGGAATACATGGAAAATATCATGGGCGAAACAGTATACACTGTTATGTCTATGGTACTGCTCATTTTTATAGGCGACGGCTACCACTTTCCATTAGGTGGTCTGTTAGCTTGTTTGCCATTCTAAGTTGTAAAAAAAAATTTTTTTTTTTTAGTAAACCATGAGTAACAAGCAAAAGAAGAACCTACTTGATTTGTATCTAACAGAAGTCTTCAAGAATTTCATAGCGTTAAAGGACAACGATGTTAAAAGATCACAAGAGGTGTTCAAAAGCGTATTTGAACAGGTCAGGGAGGCTATGGGGAAGCAGTGTAATTATTTCGCCAACTATAGCAACCAGGTACGTCTAGAAGCTACAGTATTTTTCTTTTGTGACTGATAATGGAATGATAATGACGTCTAAGCTATCAGTATATGCTGGCGGTGCCTCAATTAAGGATGGTTGATGAGAACTAAGTAATATCGTTGAGTCGAATTGAATAGGAATTAACCACGACGTTTTGAGGGAGTGACCACGTAGAGATCGACCTGACTATCTAATACTATGCCCTGCATAGAATACAGATAATTTAGTAGCATTTTTTATAAGGGATTGTTAGTAATGCGGATTACCAGTCCCATTGCTGGCAATATACCCTGTCAGGTCGACCTCCAAGTGGTCCCCCCTGGAAACCATCGTACTGGATTCCAGGTGCATTCATCATGATGTTCTAACTGACCTGCCTTTTCGGGGGATTGTTAGTAATAGAGACTAAGGGTCCTATTGTTAGCAATATACCCAACTAGCTCAACCTCCCTTTGGTCCCCCCTGGAAACCATCGTGCTAAATTCCAAGTGTATTCATCACGATGGGCTAACTGATCTGCTTTTTTTTCTTTCTCATCTGTCATCCCTCAGTATTGCCCTACCAGTACTACTGTTGGCGCAGGCGTGGTTACCATTCCATTATCATTCATTAAATAAGACTTTTACAGTATCCTGTTACTCCATTCCAATCCATTCGTCCTTACATGATTACAGTTAATATTTCCAACTAACTATTAAAAAGCAATTTTACTCAATTAAAACGTATTTCAGACAGAATGGAGACTGGCAGTCTCATTTCTAGTAATATCTATTTCCTATCGGATTTACCTCTATTCACCCCATACTCTCGAATCTGGTGAATGGACCAACTAACCTAACTTTATCCTCATTGTTTCATCCTCTATTGGGGCTCTACTATTTTCTGAATTGTCGTAAACGGTAATCTATTAAAAATATCTGTATTAATTCTTAATTTTATATTAACATTGTGTCTTAATATACCAACTATATATATAGCTGCAAATTCTCTTTTTTTATGAACAAAATCCTTTGATTTCGATGGCCCTTCGTAGGTTATGTACGGTGGGAGCGTCTACGACGGGATCAAAGTGTCGAAACTGGACGAGTTTGACATGGACATCGTCATACGACTACCGATTAGCTACGAGGACGGTGAGAACGGCATCACCATTGAAAATGAACAACCCGGATTTGTGAAACTAAAAATCACAAAAGCCTTTGACAACCTCGTAAGACAGAGCAATTGGGAAAGTCGTCATGTCGTCACCCACACGTGGAGAGACAACGAATGCTACCTGAGGCAAGACAAGTTTCGTTTCTGGATACAAAGTGTGGTCCAGAAAGCTATGAATGACCTAAAGAACAAAGTTACAGTTAACGGGGTGACCTATTCGTTGAATTATACGCAATCCGGTCCGGCGTATACCTTGAAAATTACCAATTTGCCGGAAAATGAAGATGAGCCGTTCAAACTTGACGTGGATTTAGTGCCCGTCATTAGATTCACTCATCCCCGCTGGCCACAGGGCTACAGGTTAGTTTATCTATTCATTTAAAATTTATAAACACCTTCCTTTCCCGTAAATGTCGTAAGAGGCGACTATAGGAACGGCCGAGGGACTTTTTTTTTTAAATGATAATGCTATAGCCCCACCTGCGCTATCAGTATACGCTGGCAGGGCACCAGCGAATGATAGGTGCGGATGAAAGCAGGTCAGTTAGCCCATCGTCACGAATTCCACTAGAAGTAACCACGATGGTTTCCAGGGGGAACCGCGTGGAGATCGACTTAATAAGGTTGGGGCAGTTAGACCCCATTACTAACAATCCCTTTCCCCCCTAACAACAAAAGTATTGACGAAGCAATGATAATAGGAATTCAGTAACATTCCTTATTACGTCCTTCTAACTAAACAAGTTACCGGGTGGTCCCGGCATAGAATAGGCCATCCCTTACTTTCCATAGGTTGTGTAAAAGGCGACTAAGGGAGGGTGAGATGGGCAGCAGCGACCCCTTTAAAACATCATCAAAACCTGACTGCAGGGGAAGGGGTTATAAGTAATGATGACTACCAGTCCCATTGCTAACAATATATCCTGTCAGGTCGACCATCACGTGGTCCCCTCTGGAAACCATCGTGCTGAATTCCTGGTGTATTCATCACGATGGGCTATCTGACCTGCTTCATCCTCAACCATCATCCCTCACTGGTGCCCCGCTAGTGTATACCGATAGCGCAGGCGGAGTTTACTATTCCATTATCACCCATTTAAAAAAAGTGCCTGACTGCGGTTGCCAATCCGCCTGCTAAGCGTAGCAACTACTGGCAAAATCTCAAGGGGAAGGCTTGTGTTCAGCAGTGGACAGTTAAATGCTGATATGATGATGATGAATGTTTTATGGAACATCATCAACTAAATTATAGTAATTTTGACTTAAATTTATTAGAAATTAAGTTAATATTGGTCCTTATAATTAAAATTTTGCAGTGATATCACTTTTTCCTTAAATTCTATTAGAACGGACAATTGTATGACGTATCAGGCGCTCTGTGAACTCAAATTTATCAATAATCATCTCTATCTATTGTATCTCGGTGGGAATCACGTACAGTTACCTACAAATTGAAACCACAGTGTTATTGTATTGATGTACATACCTACTTGTTTATTATAATTTTCTTAATATTGTTTTAATTAAATAATGCGATTATTCGATCACGATGGTGAGTAATTCGTGTGACGTTGCGGACTTAATCAGTAACAGATAGATAAAAATTCAATTTGTATTAATAATACACAATATATGTGTACATATAATGTAACCATTTATGTTGATAAATGATCAACAATTGTCTTGAATAATGCCGCCTCTTTGAGCAATTTGTAATTTTGACATTTTTGTGAAGTGAAAACTTTAAGCGCGTTGCTAATTTTTTGAGAATCCTTTGTTCCCACAAAGCATTAAACTGGCAACACTTTTATCGTTACTATACCAGAGGGAGACTTTGTACAAAAGTCGTTTGCTTGGCCACTTCTGTTCCATTCGTGTTTCTCCCGTGAAGCAGTTATTTTTGCATGGCTGTGTTTCGGTTTGAAAGGTGGGATATGGCAGTGTATTTTTAGGGTACAGAGGAATAACATCTAAGTCCTTAGAAATGGCAACGCATGGAGGGTATCATGGGCGAAACAGTATACTCTGTTATGTCCATGGTACTGCTCATTTCTATAGGCGACGGTTACCACTTTTCATCGGGTGGTCCGTCAGCTTGTTTACCATTCTAAGTTGCATAAAACAAAATCGACACCTCTGTATATAAGTATTTACATATACTGTGTAGGTGCGTACGTAGATACATATTATTATGCATGTTTTTTTTATTGTGGGATAATGGAATGGAAAACTTGAACAATTATGTGTGTATTTTTTTAATCGTCAGAAGTGTCGGTTACGGTAAGGTACTAGTATAGTATTATATTATCTGTGGTAAGGGTAATAGTGTCGCGAGTTCAATGGTTTGTTCCCATCTCAAAAATAAGTCAACATGCATGCGTAGGGGAAGGGGATTGTTAGCAATGAAGTTTGACAGCCCCATTGCTAGCAATATGCCCTATTAGGTCAACCTCCAAGTGGTTCCCCCTGGAAACCATCGTGAACAATTCTTGTTGAATTCATCACCTACTTCATCCTCACCTATCATCCTTCACTGGTGCCCCGCCGGTGTATACCGATAGTGCAGGCGGGGCCACCATTCCATTGTTATCCATTAAAAAACCCCAAAAATATCTCTTCATAACTATTATATATTAAATATAAAAAATGATTAGAAGACTGTCATTATTGTGTTCTCTTGTATTTGATATATATATATATATATATATATATATATATATATATATATATATATATAATTTATGTAAATATTTATTTTAATTAACTTATGTTTGTTTAGCACTACTACTGCCCACTCACTACTTCCTATGCCACTGCGTTAGGTTGACTGGAAGAAATCTCTTTTAGAGATAAGTTCGCCTTTGCTAACATTGTTATTAACTTATTGTTGTTACTGTATGTTTTAGTGCAATAAAGAATATATTATATTTGCATGAAAGTTGGTTTTAAATTATATTATTATTCCAGCAACCCATTGAATCCATTTATTATACATACATACATATCTCCGTGTTATGCTTTGGACTTATTTGGTAATTTGGAAAAGATTAGATACCTATATTTTCTATTTATTTGCTGATCACGTTACACCGTCAATTGTCATCATATCATATCAACCTCACCTCTCATCACCAACTGGTACCCCCGCCAGCGTATACCGATAGCGCAGGCGGGGTTACCGTTCCATTATCATACTTTATCATAAATAACTTACTCACAGGCAACCCAACGTTACGACCGCCAAGGACTGGTTGGTGGTGCCGAAGCCGAATAAGACCATCAAGGACGGGCAGCTGCAGAATCGCTGCTGGCGGCTCTCGTTCCAGGACTTCGAGAAGGAGCTCATGAAGGGTTGCCAAAACCTCAAAACTACTATTAGATTGGTGCGTATTTTGTAGCATATTATTGTATTTATACTTGACAACTTTGCTAGTGTTAAAGAAGGGATTGTTGTTAATGGGGACTAGCGGCCCCGTTACTAGCAATATACCTTGTTGTTTAATGGTTCACCCATTATGGAATAGTGACCATGTCTGCGTCATTGGTGTACACTGGCGGCTCACCAATGAGAGATGATAGGTTAAGATGAAAATAGGTCGGTAAGCTCATCGTAACGAATTCTACAAAAAAATCACGATACTTTCCAGGGGGAGCCGTGTGAAGGTCGACCTCATGGGGGGTATACTCGTATTGCTAGCAATACAGCAGTTAAATCCCCCATCACTAACAATCCCTTTCTGCCCAATATACCTTGTTAAGTCAACTTGTACGCGGCCCCACCAGGAAACCATTGTAATTGTTCATTGCTCTACGAGCGTATACTAGTAGCACGGGCGAGATTGTCATTCATTATTATTAAAATGGACATTTGTATTGTCGCAAAAGAACCAAACCAAAGTGACTGACATAGACCGAAGGATAAGCTAGCTTATCCTTCGGTCTATGTCAGTCACTTTGTTATTATTTATTATTATTATTAATTTATTTCAATTGATAAAATTGTTATCATTATTCACAAGAATAGTTATCTTTGTTTATTATATTTTTTTTAATGGATGATAATAGAATGGTTACCCCGCCTGCGTTATCGGTATACACTGGGAGGGGGGGGGGGGGGTACCAGTGAGGGATGATAGGTGATCAAGAAGTAGGTCAGTTGGCCCATTGTAATGAATTCAAAAATCAATCTCGATGGTTTCCAAGGGATGCCGCATGGAGGTCGACCTAATAATAACAATCTAACAATCCCTTCTCCCCAAACATTTTAATACTGGATATGTTTTCAACCTACTTCAAAAAGGAATAGGTTCTCTGTTCGATTGTATTGTTTTTTTTTTTACTTTTGTTACCTAACTCCGTCAGTTGTAAACCGATTCGGAAAATTCTTTTTTTATCTGAGAGGAAATACCTACTGATTGGTTCCATAGAAATTTTATCAAAATCGATTCAGTAATTTAATTTTCAAACTAAAATAACTGGTTTTGTCACCGTTGAAGTTATTTTTATAAGGTATTTCTATTAAAAGTAGAATTTCTATGATCTTATTCGATGCCAGTCACCAAATTAGATGTAGTGTGCGCGGGCAAAATTTTCATTCTACTTATGTATTATTACTTCAACTTTACTTTCCACTGTTGAACATAACCTTCCGCCATAAGGGGCGTTCTGCCAGTAGTTGCCACGTTTGGCAAGTGGGTTGGCAACCGCAGTTAGGCTTTTAGAAATGTTTTAAGACGCTGCAGTCCATCCCTCAACCGTTAAGTTCCCTTAGTGGCCTCTTACTACATCCACGGAAAAGGAAGTGACCCATTCTATGCCGAGACCACACTTGCGGACTTATTTATTATAACAATATTTAAATCCACTACTGGGCATAAGTTTTTTCATCATTGTCAGCGCCCTTCTGGCCAGTCATGTACAGTGAACGCTCTATATAAGCAACATTCTTTATATTTTACTTATTCTACTCAGCTCAGTAAAGAAATAAGTAAAAATATTTTCCAGACGGTAAGTATTTTTATACTCCTTTTTTCCCCTATAAGCATCTTTTACCAATAAGAATTTTTTTTTATTGAAAGTCTTTGTTTGATAACAATAAGTTTAATTCAGCATTAAGTATTGCTAACGAATTTAATCTCTTATCTGTCATGGTTAAGCAAAGATAATATGTTAAAATTAGTGATTCCCTGGATCTATCTCTAAATTTAAAATTACTAGTGTATTTTAATATATAAGTTATTAAACTTTACTGAATAAGGCAAAATTAAATATTAATGGAGTTAAACAAAATAATTCTAACAAACTAACCAAATAAATTATATTATCGACTAAATTTTAAACAGTTCTCACTTAATTGTACTTATCATAAATTTTGTTCATAAATTATTTCACAATAGTATTAAACTTTGCATTTTGAAATAGATAGATCAAATGTTAAGCATATGTCGCTTCTACTAAATTGCTGCCAGTAAAATCTATCTTTTAACAGGTGAAAAAAATGCGCGACGTTCTCGAACTGAAAGCTATAGCAAGTTATTACATTAAAACATTGTTCTTATGGAAAATTTCCAAAAACGATAAGAAGTATTGGGAGAGAAAAGTCAGTGTTCTCTTCAAGACCATGGTGGAGGAGTTACATAATGCTGTAGCGGAAAAAAACATTCCATACTTTTGGAACGAGCAAAACAACTTAATCGAGACCCTAAAAGATTCGATACAATCTGAATATACACAAAAATTACAAAACGTTCTCAACGCTGTAAATTGCAATGACATGGATAAAGTATTGTCGGCGTTGCTTACGAAAAGGGAATTGGCACAGTTTAAAATGTTCGATTTTTATCAAAATAATATTACTTCTGCACTGCCCGGACGTGGCAAAGGATCCAAAAAAGTGCCGATCGCTGCTAACCTAATTGACAATTTAGATAGTAAAATGGAAGAGTTAATGAAGAAATTCAACGAACTAACAGATAAAGTTAACAGCTTAAAAATCGATGACAATTTAAAAGATGCATATATGAAAGTAGTGTGTGAGGTCGAAGAGATCTCAGATGAGATCGAAGAAATAGATTTTTATGATTATGATAATCCGAAAAGGATTAAATTGAACAATGGCAGAAAAGGTGATCCAAGAGTGGCGTTCAATCGCTAAAAGATACCTGTTGACTTGTGTTTTGTGTATAATAGGAAAAAAGAACTGGCAATTTTTTTTTTTTTTTTTTTACAGAATATTGGACTATTGTTAATGGCGATCCGTTTATGTTAAATATCGACGACTTTGTTGTTATTGAGAGTATACGTGGGTGATGTACATATATTATTTCTATGTCGAAAGTATAGGCTTCATTAAATAAGGTATATTAATGTCACATACAAGCTTACGAATCATCAAGTGTTTATATGTTCAATAATCTAATTATACAATTATTTATATGTATATGTTTTTCCAATAATATTTTTGTGTCTAATAATAATTATTATGTATTTATGCACTTATTTATTGGCTGAATGCAGTGGAGTCAGCGACATTTCTCCAATTGATTCAAATAATGTACAGTCCAAAGAATAACTAGCCAGAAAGCTGCCACTTTTACCAATAGGAGATAAAATAAAGGCGCAGTGTAATGTAACATTTTATCCAAATCTCTGGCACCTCTGTCCCATTCATGTTTCTGCCATGAAGCAGTTGTTTTCATCATTTATTCATCTATGTTTCGGTTTGAAGGGTGGGATATGGTAGTGAATTTACAGGATACAGAGGACCTGAACACCAACCACACCACAACCAGAACACCTGAGTCCTCAGGAATGGCAACGTATGGGGGGTATCATAGACAAAACAGTACACTCTGTTATGTCCATGGTACTGCTCATGTCTATAGGCGACGGTTACCAATTTCCATCAGGTGGGTCGTCAGCTTGTTTGCCATTCTAAGTTGTATAAAAAAAAGACTGGGGTAAAAAGTTACCGTTTTACTTCATGCCAAGTACAACATGTACTAAGTACTTATGTATGTCGCCAATATTCGTCATGGTTGGTTGAGTCATTAAAACGCCAAGAGATTTACTGTTTCGCCTATGATACCCCCCATGCGTTGCCATTCCTGAGGACTCAGATGTTATTCCTCTGTACCCTGTAAATTCACGCCATATCCCACCCTTCAAACCGATACACAGCCATGCAAACACAACTGCTTCACGGTTGAAACACGAATGGGACAGAGTCTACCAATCCTCGGACGATGACGCGGCTAAAGTCTAGTAATTTTTAAAAGTATCAAATAAACAGTAAAATGACCCTTGCTAGCTACTTCCGATTTAAGGCCAATGTTTTAATAAGATATAAAATATTATCATAAGATACCGAACGATATTTTGAATCTACTTTTTAATTAATTTAGAACTGTTATTAAAAACATAAGTGTTTTTAATAACAGTTCTAAATTAATGAACAAAACCTATTACACACTAAACGATTACTTGAATGACAAACGTGCATGGTGTTAGTAGATCATGTACGGGCTTTTTAATGGCCATGTAATTTTAGACATAGTACATTTAAATATATATATTTGAACTTATTCTTAGTCTTATTTAAGAGATTCTCAACAGATAACAAACCTTCCGAACCCTGCAGTAGATTAAAAACAAATGACGATTTAAAAGGGCTTGTAAATAAGTTTATTTGAATGAAGACAATTTGAATTTCGAATTTTATGGAAAGTTTTTTTTTTTTTTTTTTTAAATATATAAAATAGAATTGATATTTTAAAAAATGACATTTGTTTTGTAATTCCAAATCTTCGATTACCTATTGGAATTAAAATAGATATCTCGACTCTTTTTTTTTAACCCAAAAAAAGATACAGTAAAAATAATATCTAGCATTTCTTTTTTTTTTTTTTTATAGAAATCATTTATTCAAATAAACTTACATTGAAGCACTTTTGAATAGTCATTACATTTTTTTTAATCTACCGCTCGTTCGGAAAGCTGTCTCATCACAAGAAGAACGAGCAAGAAACTTGCGTGTTGCTCTTTTAAATAATTTTATTATTACTTTACATTTTCAAGTTTAATTGTGTGAATACAAACCACCAATTAGCACTAATTCAATTAAATACTCAAAAAGAAAAAAATATTGAATACATAACCAACTGGTTAAACAATTAATAAGAGGAAATCAGTCATAGTGATTAGAGCAGACCAGTCCCTACAAGCAGCACCCGTTCACGAGTATGACGGATGAGCCAGCCATCACTGCGCTCGACCATATTTTAGGGAGCCCAATGACCCGGCCCACCACGCCGCCACAAGTCTGGACATTTTAGTGAGCATGACTACTCAAAACACTAGACCACGTCAAAGCTACTCACAATTGCCATCTGATAGTTATAGTATTCACATTTTACATAAGAATGCATGCGGCAATTAATACAAAAAACCGCTACGCTTTCATATTTCTAAAATTAATCAATTAAATCAAGAAAGCAATGAGAAAATAAAATTATAACGTTGTATGCTAATAAACTAATTATTTACTTGATATGTTGTCATCTATGAATTCGTCTATCCTGTAATAGGCTTTCTTACATAAAAATTGTTTAATATAAGATTTGAATTGCCTCTCTGTCAGATTTAATGCAGATTCCGGCAGTTTATTATAAAATCTTATGCAATTACCATAGAATGAATTACTGATTTTGTGCAGACGGCATTTAGGTAAAATAAGCTTATTTATATTGCGTAAGTTTCTACTTGTACAGTCTTTGAGTTTTTTAAAACTCTCTAAGTTCTTCCGTGTATACATAATATTTTCATAAATGTATTGTGAAGTAACTGTGAGGATATTTGAGTCTTTAAAGCACTGACGTAATGACTCTCTCGAACCCATACCATAAATAGAACGTATGGCTCTCTTTTGTAAAACAAATATAGTATTTATATCGGCTGCTTTACCCCACAGCAGTATGCCATAAGACATTATGCTATGGAAATAACTAAAATATACAAGTTTAGCCGTTGCCACGTCTGTTAATTGTCTAATTCTTCTAATTGCATATGCAGCAGAACTGAGTCTACTGGCCAATTTTGAAATATGCGGCCCCCATTGTAATTTCGAGTCCACTGTTATACCTAAAAAAACTGTATCATTAACAAAATTTACTATTTCATCATTAAGCAATAACTGTGTATTTCTTATTAACATATTCACATTGCATTTAATTAATGATTAAAAATAAATATTTTGTTTTAACTATATATTTATGGTTTCTCTTTACATATTATATTGCAAATTTTCTTTTTGTACAGCTAAAAAAAATGCGCGACGTTCTCAAGTTGAAGAAGATTGTTACTCATTACATCAAAACATTGTTTCTATGGAAAATATCCAAAACATCCAAGTCATATTGGGATGGGAAACTGAGTGTGTTATTTAAGACGATGGTTCAAGAGCTGTATAACGCTCTAAATGAAAAGTATATCCCGTGTTTCTGGCATCGTGACCACAACCTGATTGCTAATTTAGATGACTCTAAAAGAATCGATTACATGGAAAAATTAGATAATCTTCTCAATTACATCAAAGCAGATGATATGGATAATTTGTTGGCCGCGTTACTAACCGAGACAGAGTTGCCAACATTCAAAATGTTAGACGCATACAAGCGACATTGCAATGGTCGTGCTAGTAACCAAGCGACAGAATCTATAACTAGTCGTGAGAAACTTGTAATAAATTTATATAGTAAAATGGAAATGTTAATTAAAAATGTGGACGAACTTAGCGAGAGATTAGATGAACTGAACGTCGCTGGCAACTCAAGAGATGTATCGTCTAACGTAGTCAAGTATCGAAATGGAAATAACGATGTACAAACAGTTGACAACATATCGGACAGTGGTGAAGATTCAGACTTTTATGAATATGACAACCCTAAAAGGATCAAATTGTGCAATGGTCGAAAGGGCAACCCTAAGAAATCGTTACAATACTAAACTTATATTTTAATGTAATAATTACCCTATTAACTTACGTTTATCTTAGTCGAGAAAGCTCAACTAGTTTCGGGACCATTCCGAACTCTTAGTCTTGAGCAGCTGTAACTGAGATACACGTAAGTTAATCCGGTTGTTATTACATTAAAATATAATGTGTGCTTACGAAACTTTTAACAAAAAAAAAATGCCTAAATATTTCTACATATAATCGCAGTGTAAATAATTTTAATGGATAATTGTTTACTAATATGACCAAAGACTATAAAAAAAATGCCTATTTTTTTTTTTTTTTTTTTTTTTATTTTATTATCAATAAAAATACAAGTTACAGAATTTATGTTCCATTAGCATTTAGAAACCACGTAGGTTTATATTAATACTAAATACATTAAAATTATTTAGATTGTATTAAAACCATGCAAGAAGTATCGTTTTAATTTACACTTGATGTTGCTAATAGTAATATTATCTCGTACATCGGTGGGTAGTTCATTAATAAATCGAGGAACCAGGTAGTCAGCCGTACGCTCACCATAACAGTTATTTACGCGAGCGCTATTGGTACAAAGTTGCTTCCGTGCGACCGCCCTCGTATATACAGCATGATTAATTTCGTTCCAATATTTATTGTTAAAAAAGTTTTCCTTAAGAAATGTGTATTTAAATTGTAGATGTACAGGTAAAATATTGCAATGTCGAAAAAGACCAGTATCATCGTCATAATACTGCATCTTAATTTTGGGAGATACAATAGTTCTTAAAATTCTACGTTGAAGTTTAAAAATATCATTTAAATATGTTTTATAAGTGCGGCCATAACTTGACAACCCATATTGAACATAAGATTCGACCAATGAATTATACAGCATCAGTTTTACTTTAAAGGGAATTCGGTGTCTAAGGATGACTATATTAGCTAAAAATTGTCTTAATTTGTTACAAATTTTTTCGATGTGTTTACTCCAATTAAACTTACTATCTATAGTTAAGCCAAGATATGTTTGGCTGTCCTTGACCGTTATAGCGGGGCAGCTGCAAAAGTTCCTTTCATTAGTTATATGTAGACACTTGTGGTTGTGAGCAATGATAGGTTTATATAGAGGACGAAATTTTAAATAGGGTGATTTTATGATCAAAAGTTGTGTTTTAATTGGATTTAATACCAATCCGGCATCATGACACCATTCAAGAAGGACATTGACATCAGATTGTAGAAGGTCTCGTGCTTTTTGAATATTTTTGTCAGACAATACTAGACACGTATCATCTGCAAATTGGTAACATGAACTGTGTTTCAAGATATTATGCATATTATTAACATAAGACAAAAAATGTAGCGGACCTAATACAGATCCTTGTGCCGTACCTTCAGTTACTGGTACATGATCACTGTATACATCATCTATTTTAACGGTGAATTTACGATTTTGTAAATAGTTCTTGCACCAGTTGAGTAAAGGCCCACGTACACCAGACTCATCAAGTTTAGTAATTATTTGTGCATGTTTTAGGGTATCAAAAGCACGGGAAAAGTCTATGAATAAAGCCAACACGTATTGTTTTTTATTGAGATGTTCATTAATCTCATCTGTAAATTTAGATAACAGCTGACTAGTACTTTTACCCGATTGAAAACCAAATTGATTTTGGTAAATTACATCTTGCTTACGATAAAATTTATGAATTTGTTCGCAAACATATTTTTCAACTATTTTGTCTATTGTAGAAAGTAAGGTAATGGGACGATAGTCTAAATAATTATTTCTTAACCCTTTCTTAAATACCGGTCTAACACAACCAATCTTTAGTTCATCGGGATATACGCCAGTTTTAACACTAGAATTTATGAGGTTAGCAATAGCTACCGATACCGCCTTACTAACTATTTTAATATCTGACACTTTAATGTTATCAAGACCTGGAGCTTTTCTATAGTCTAATTTATCGATAATTTTATTTATTTTTTCACTTGAAGCTTTTTGATAATAAATGCTGCAGTTAGTTTGTTTACTATAGCTTCCTGGATCTAAAAGTCTGACAGTACATTTCGGAGTGATATTCTTCACTGCATTATCAAAGTTAGTGGCAAAATTGATGGCGATATCTTTATTACTTAATCCTTGTGCATCGAATGCTCTAAGTATCGCTTCATCTATTGATAACGTTACACGGCCTAACATTCTGTTTAGGATTTCGTAAACTTTTTTTGTGTTTTTAAAGTTATTCTGTATTTGTTGAATATAAAAGGAATTTCTTTTTATTTCTATTATTTTATGTGCTTTATTACGAGTTTTATTATATTCTAATCTTATCTTAGGATCATTTAAGCTATTTTTCCAAGATCTAAATAATTTATCACGCTTTTGGCACAATTTTGTTACATTTTTGTCTATCCAAGGTAGTTTTAATCCTTTATTATTTTCTTGCCGAACAGCTTTCATAGAAGTTGCTACTTTATTAGCATTATTAAAAGAGCTATTAATGAATTTAAAGATTTTGTTAGGGCAGTACATATTTGAAGTTAGGAACCAGTTAACTTTTTTCAGTTCCTCGCAAAGAATATCATAATTTATAATTGGTTTAATAACGCGCTGTATATACTTGGGTTGGTTATAGTCGATGCACGCGAATACAATAGCGCGGTGATCGGCTAGTACGACATCTAGCACCGCAGAATACGGGTGCATGGTTGGAAACCGCGCAAAAATATGGTCAATACATGATTTGGTCATAACATTCATTCTTGTTTCGATTCTACTATAATCAGTTATTCCACACATTAAACCATGTTTACTAAGTGACTCTAAATATATATCTCTAAATGGTAAACTGGATTTGAGGTCTATGTTTGTATCACCAATTAAAAGAAGATTTTGTTTCGAATCAAACGACGTTAAGTGACTATCTAGTTCCTTCACAAAAATGTTTTTATTTGTAGATGGTGGCCTATAGACAGCACACACAACTACGTCATGTCTACAATCTATTTTTATAATACCTGACAAGCATTCAAATGTTTTTGTTTTGTGTTGTAATGCTGTAAACTTAATATAATTTTTGACATACAATATAATACCTCCTCCTCGTTTATTTATGCGTAAATTTGAATACATATTATAGCCAGGTATATTATATAAATGACAAATATTTTCTGAGATACCAGCCTCGGTAATAACAATAATATCCAAGGGAAATCGACTACTGTGAATTACTTGTAGCAATTTATAGTCATACTTCGTATATTTATGTGCATACTAGATATTTTTAATGAATTTTGACAAGGTATTTGTAGGAAGAAATCATTAATGGAGTTACAATTATATATTTCATTAATTTGTGTATCCATTTTTTTTTTCTTTAGTACTATTCACAATAAATATGTATTTATATTATTTTGTATGTAAAATACGTATGTGGATTTAAGTAATAACAATAACAATAAGAAGAAACAAAGGAAACTTTTAGAACAAGTGGGTAGGCAGGTAAATACGTAGTTTTATTAAACCTGAGATAGTTGATTGATGTCCTGTGATGAGCGAATATAATAGATTTTACTGTTGCTGTTTTTTCTTGCGCACACATTACCATCCTTACACCATATGAATTGAAATGACTTGCTAAGTTGTATTTTAGAGTTGTATAGAATACTCTTGACATGTTTTGTTAAAGCTTCTCTGATATAAATACGGTTTTCTGCTTTATCCTTGACCACATCTGGTATGACCTGTCCAACAGTAAGTCTCTTCTTCTTGCTAGCTTCTATCCAATGTTTACATACAGATTTTGTCTTCATTTCCATACGAATTACACAAGGTTTGTCCTTAGAACTAGGTAAACGTTGCGTTGATTGAATGTCATTCTCATCCAATTCCAATTTTACAACTACCCTGCTCAATACGTCCTTCAAGTCTCCTTGGGAAATATCTGGTATTCCTGCTATTTCCAAAGTTGTTGACAAGGATTTTTGTTCAAATGTATTGATTCCTTGTTCAAGAACTGTCACTCTCAGCTCCAAGTTTTTGTTTTTGTTTAATAAATCCTCATTTTTGTGTTCAAGATTTCTTATGATATTATCCTGCTTTTTTATTGACTGCTCCATAGATCATTTGGTCACTCAAAAACTCGAGGGACGATTGGAGGTTACTTACCTCTTCTCGAAGGCTTTTTTTGAGCTCTTTACTGATGTCCTGTACGAGTTTTCGTGTATCGATGGTGTGGGATGCAGTCGGGAAACCAAGCATAGACTCATCATCGTCCCCATCATCATCGGGTATCAAATATGATGACCTTCGAGATGCGTTTTTTAAACAATCCTCACAGCTCCATTCGATGCCAGTAGTATTTCGTAGCGTATTCAATTGTTTATTAGATAATTTAGCACACGCTGGATCAGCATGTACTACTTTATCACACCTGCTACACTCCAATCCAGGCATTTTTTTAGTAATATTCTTCTTGCACACATCACATTTCTTCAACACCATATTGAGGGTAGATATTAAAATATATTATCGGCAACGGTGCACAACCTTTCACTTCAATGTCACAACGACGATTTATTAATGCTTGTATGCGATAA